GTCGGCGGCAGGGGCGGCTGCGGCGGGCCCAGGGGCGCCACCAGGCTGACGTGGCTCAGCAGGTGGGGCGGCACAACCTCCTGGCGTGCCAGGTTGTGCCTGTCCTCCAGGTGCGGCGGCTGGCAGCTGTTCAGCTGGTGGTGCGGAAGGGTGCCCAGGCTCAGGAGCAGGTTGCTGAGCAGCAGGTGCTTCCCCATTCGGCTTCTTGCGCTTCGCCGGGTTGGTGGTGGACTCCTTGGCTTGGCGTAGGAGCTCTCGAATTTTTTCTTGGCCATTGTTCAGCTCGGCGAGGCGCTGGTCGAGCCCTTGATTCCACTGTTCTATATGGTTGCGGGTGCCATCCTCGTAAATGGATCGTCCCACATTGAGTTGTCAACCTTGAAGGCTTCCTGAGGCCCCACAGGTGGTGCTCCGCGTACTGCTCCAGCGAGTTTGGCACTGTGGTCAGCTTGTGCCTTGGCGCATGCGTTCCGTGCCTGGACGAGGTCAAGGGCGGCTTGCCCTTGTTTGTCCACGGCGTCGTCGTGCCACTGCTTGGCGGTCTCGACGTCGTCGACCGTTTGCTGGAGTTTCTTCTCCCTGTCGGTGAGGACTGACAGCGCCGACTGGAGCACCTGCTCGGCTGTGCGGGCAGGCGGAAACTTGTCGGGCTGCTGGAGGGTGTCCTTGAGGTTGCCGACGAGTTCGGCGTGCTTGGTGTCGCTGAGGAGCGTGCTGAGCGCGGCGAGGATGGCGTCCCTTGTAGGGGCGGCGGCCACTGGCGGCTCCTTCCACGGCGGTGGCTTGCTGGCTCCTGCCCAAGCCCCTGTGGGCTGGCGGTGTTCGGCAGGTGATGAAGCCAGCTGTTTGCCACAAGAGAAGCACTCGACTTTTCCCTTCCATGTCCATCGGTATCGGCACTGCTTGCAGACTGTGTATTGGCTTGCGAACCTTGCTGGCGAGCCTCGTCCGCCTTCAGGGCGTGCGCGTCGCGACCTGGTGCCGCCAGCATTGGCGGCAGCTCCTCCGTCAGCAGGGGCGGTCCCTCCACCACGATCCGCGGCGGCCATCGTCTCTCTGCTTCCCAGGGAGCTCTCGCGAGCAGCGCAAGGGAGGAATATGAAGTGAGCGGCAGCTCGCCCGTGAGTGTGGCCGCGGATACGAAAAGCACTGAAAGCTGTGGGAGCTTACCCCAGATAGGCAGTGAAATGAACACCATTTTGGCCTTGAACCAAAATGGCTACGGAAAAAGAAGTAGGAGGAGGAGGAGAAGGAGGAGAAGGAGGAGTAGGAGGAGGTGGGGGAGGAGGAGGAGGGGGAGGAGGAGGAGGAGGAGGAGGAGGAGGAGGAGGAGGACGGCCCCCTTCCCATCCCCTCTTGCGCGTCATCGCTGTAACGGCGTGAGACAGGAGGACTCTCCCGCCTCTCCCCTTCGGATCCTCGCAGAGGGAAGGCGGCACTGCCCCTGAGTTGGAGAGGCCAAGGGTGGACGTCGTGCGCACCCTTGGCCGGAGAGTGGCCCTGCCTTTTCTTTTCCCCCCTTCCAACCCCTACCGGGTCCTCATAGCCAGGTTTGAGTCCTGACAGGTTGGGTCCGTCGCCCCCTCCCCGCGGCACCTCCGGGTTGACGTTGGCGAAGGTGGTCGATCCGCCACCGTTGTCCGTTCCCTTCTCTTTTTTCGGGGGTGCCGGAATGGCAACGTGAGGTGCTGAGGTGCTGCTGGGCAGGATTGCCTGCACCTCAGTACGGGGTCCACTTTCGTTGATCTCTGAGGTGCGCCTCCGATGACGCTACGGAGTCGGGCCCCGCGGCATACAGCCTTGAACCACCTTGGTTGGTTGGAGCGCTTCTCGCCGCGGGCTCAATGATCAGGAGCGACGCGGAGTGAAGGCTAAGGGGTACTGGCTCTGTGTACTTCGGGGTCCCAGTTTCCGGCTTGCCGGGTCAGGCCCAATGAGGGGGGCAACTTGCTGGGCAGAGGTTTGAGCTTTCTGTTATCCCGTTCAGGATCGTGTAATGCTTAGTCGTTGGCTTGCTGCGGCCGCCTGTCTTGGGGCCTGTTGCCACGCCAAGCAGGCAGCAGCCTAGGTTTTACAATTCCTTCTCGTTCGCGGACGGTCCCTCATTGCCCTTGTGTTTCCCATGATTCGCGGCCCGTTCTGACGCTGTGCGTCATGGCGCTGCACCTGTGGTGCATGGTGGCACCTACTTTTGGTGCTGTGCACTTTCCCTTCGGGTCCTTCTATTCCATTCCTGCTGCTCCTTTCCGAGGCGGGAATTTATACATGTTCACCGCCTGGAGAGTCAGTTGTCGGAGCCTTTGCAGGCGGTGGACATGGACATGTCCGGGCCCCCAGGATCCAAAATATGTCCATATCCACCGCCCACTGGCTCATCCTCCTCATCCTCCTCATCCTCCGCCTCCTTCTCCTCTTCCTCCTCCTCCTGCTCCTCCTTTTCCTCTCCCTTCATGAGCGCGCGGGGTAGAAGGAGGTATGTAGGGAGGGTGAGGAGGAGGAGGAGAAGGAGGAAAAGGAAGAAATGGACAAGGAGAGGAGAAAAAAAACGAGAGTATACCAAGGATGCGTCAACGATGGTGCAAGACGCCATCCCGTCTCAAGCCCCGTCCGCGCAAGTCCCCCCGATCATTCGCTTGCACGAAACGGCCCCCCTGCAGGGCGATCGTCCCATGAGCCTGCTTTTCGAGCCGAGAGCACAGCTTGGAAAATAACCACACGTTCTGTTTATCGAGCATCGACTTTTAGTGTGTTCTGAAAATAAAAGGAGAGCCCCGCTCGTGCAACTGTTGTACATGTCTACACTTCCAGTCATCATGTGCAAGGCTGTCTCAAACGATGTCCCATGAAAGGAGTCGCCCTCCTCCCTCATTTCGCAAGCGATTCACCTTCCGTCCTTGTAACTGTTGGGAGCTTTCCAGACGAATGTGCGTGGCGGTAAGGCGAGACCAGCATCGTGCGAACCATGTGCCCTTCCTCCCCGAGGAGCGTGTTTGGATTTTCTGATGAAAACGTTTGCGCGCGGCGCTCAGGCGAGAGCCGAAATTCCGAAGCCGCCCACCTTCTGTCCGTGCAGACCCGGGCAATTTCAGGCTTCAGGGGCAGAAGCGGTGAAGATGTGTCCTGCGAGATTTCCGCCGCACCCTGCCGACGCAAGTTTGGCGTTGCGATGGGGAGGTGCTGAGGAATGCAGGGGAGGAAGAGGGACCGAAAAACATTTTATATGGCGGATGGCGAGGAATTTGAGGCAGAGGACCAGAGCAAACCCAAGACGCATGAACCATGTTGCAATACACCCTCCCTCCAAGTTCCCTCTTCATAGGTGTCCAAAAGGAAAGATCTTCACTGCGGGAAATGGCCCATTGGAAGACAAGCGTGGGAGAATCGCGAATCGTACCAAAACGAGCCTGGGACTTCAACGCCGCGGATCAACGTGACTGTTGCGTCCGGATGGTCATTCGTGCCAAAGCACCACTGCAGGGACTCCAACGCCGCGAGTCAGCATGACTGTGGCGTCTCGGCAGTCCTTAATCGCGCCAGGTCACCATCCCTGGCAGCTCGGCCATGCGAATTCCTCAATATGTTATGGTGAACTTTATGGCGAACGTGAACGGCGAGAATGCGAGAACCCCATGTTGAAAAGGAACCACATGTTGTAAGCTGTGAGCGTTGCTAAGGCGAGAGCCACATGTTGGAACGACCCACCGTCCATCCGTGAAACTGTTGCAAGCTTCTGAGACGAACGTGCGCGGCTAGAAGGCGAGAGACACATTTTGAAAACCATCCGCCCTTCATCCTTGAGCTGTTGAAAGCTGTTGAGGCCCATGCGAGCGGTGCTGAGGCGAGAGGCACACTTTGAAAACCAACCGCCCTCCATCCTTGAAGCCGGTGCAAAGTGTTAAGGCGAATGCGCGCGGCGCTTAGGCGAAAACCACAGTTTGAAAAGGACCCGCCCTCCGTCCACGTACAAGTGCAATTCCTAAGCTTCAGGATCCTAACCGGCGAGGGGGTCCAATACGAAGCGCCCGCCCTACGGACACGTCTGGGGTTGCGACAGGTCGGAATTATTCGGACGGGGCTGGAATTCACGAGCTCATGACAGGAAGGGGGCGATTATGCTGGCATTGTGCTGCGGCGCAGATGGGAGGCACTACTTTCAAGCAGTGGCGATGCGTCCTGGCTCGCCTGTAGCACTACCAAGCAATGTTCTAGGAACCTTTTGTGGTTTCCAGGAAATGTTCTTAGAACATTTCTGGCGGAGTCTGTCTTGTTTGAACACATCGGGTTTATGTTCGAAGATTTTTTTGTTATTGGGACATTTCCGGGCTCTAGGAAAATTTCGTGGTAGGCCTGTAGGAATGCCGGGGCGGTCGGTCCCTGCTCAGTACTCGAGCCTCCCCGCACCGTGCGAGCTTCTACTCACACGGGTGCTCCTGAGGATGAGAGGCGGCCCTCCCTCGGGGGCGGCGAAGGTTTGATGATATCCGTTTCAATTAGATGTTTGCTGCACGCTTTGTGGTGATCTTTGCTCGTCCCTAGTCCAAATCTGGGGGGTACATCCGTGGGGCTAGCACGCCTGGTCGGGAGCTGTATCAGGAGAGTGTTCCCGTGTACTTCCGGCTCAAAAAATGAAGCTGATTCACCGTTCTTCCAGATTCCTTTGGACGAGGGCTGAAACATGGTAGCGCGGAGCTGGGTGCAGTTCCGCAGCCGGGGAACCACTGCGCGACTCTAGTGACGATTCCAGCAGCGGAACGAAGTCGTGATGAAGCAGCAGCTAGAACAACAGCAGCAACAGATAGCAGACCTACTGGCCACGGTGCAGCAGCTGCAGCAGCAGCAGCAGCAAGCAGCAGGACAGGCAGTTCAACAGCAGCCAGTCCGCGTCGCCCAGCGATTCGAGGGAGTCCTGGACGCCAATATCATCGGGAATGTCTAGCAGTTCGACGGTCGACGGCTCAAGGAGCGGATGGTCGACATGGGAGTTTCACTGGAGAGCGTACATGGTGGCAAACGGCAAGCGCGACAAGGATTTCTTTGAGAAGCTAGATGGCAAAACTCTGGACCAGCTGGACGGCGCCAGAAATGCTACGATGAGCGTGGACGACGTAGACTGGGAGGACCTGAGCACACAGCTCTACTATATGCTGGCGCTCGCGATGCCAGAAGACTCAGCGGGTGAGGCCATCATGCGGGACGTTCTACACGGAGAAGGTGGTCAAGCATGGATCCGACTGAAGGGATAGTATGCACCCAATGAGCCTGGCAACGTCGTGGCACGTCTGGGGGAGCCCATGTCGGCACAGTTTGTGACGAACGCGGACGTAGCCAACGAGATCGAGAAACTGGACCTGGAGATCAGCAAGTATGGAAAGGCCGCCGGGGAGCAGCTGACCGACAACATCAAGAAGGGGATCTTGCTCGGTGCGCTCCAGAACGAACGCGACCTGCAGAAGCACGTCTTCCGCAACCTGCGGACACTCGTCACCTACTTCGACGCGGAGAATAGGGTCCTGAGCGCCCTGAAACCCCAACGCAGCTTTGACGACGACGCGATGGAGATCGGTGCGCTGACGGGAATGCCGAAGGGAAAGAAGGCAAAGGCGAGGGTGACACGGACAAAGACAAGGATAATAATAGGAACAAGTTCGGGCCGAAGGCGAAGGACAACCGAACCATCCGAGGAAGTGGCGCAGTCACTGCGAGAAGCCGGACCACATCAAGGACGACTGCCGCAAGTTCAGGCGGGAGAATGAGGCCGAAGCGGAAGCAAATAATAAGGCCAAGGATGAGAAGAAGCAGCGTCGTGCCGTGGCAGCGGCGCTGGTCGCAGGTGGTGGCGCGGCCCTTGCGGGACTTCCTCCTGGGTGCGACGGCGCAGGCCAGCGCTCGCAGCACTTCGCGCACCGCGCGGTGCACGGGGAGCCGCAGCAGCACGTCCGGGATTCATCGGGAGCAGCATCGACAGCGAGCACGACCCCGACGGCGCCGACGGGCACGCGCGGGATCAACGGCCTCCTTGCAGAGCAGGACACGATCAAGCCGAAGTACATCTTCGCCCTGATGGCGGAGCACTCGAGGCCGAGGGCGAGGTCGGCGGAGCCCAGTGGATCAAGGCGCAGCGAGAGCAGCGAGAGTGTTTGTGTCTCAGACATCCGCGGGGTCAGAGGGGTCACGATAGACTCTGGGGCCCAGGTCACAGCGTTCCCTTGCGACATGCTGAAGGGCAAGGACTACGTGCTCGCCAAGTCGGGGATCTCCAAGCTGCGGGCCATCGACGGCGCGAAGGTGCAGCGCTACGGCGAGACGGGCGTTCGGCTGAACACGGGGCAGGACGTGGTTCACATTCGGCGGAGGCCGCCGACGTGGAGTTTCCAGCGATGTCCACCAACGCGATTGCGAAGCAGGGCAAGTCGGTGATCCACTCGCCCCTGGGAGATTGGATTGTGGACAGCCCGATCTCACCTCCAGCATCGGCGAACCAGATCAAGCTGAGGAAGGATCGCGGAACGTGCTACCTGGAGTACGACGAGATGCTGGGCGACTCCTCCGAGGGCAAGCGGGCGGCGCGCACGGCGAGCATCGGTGAGCTGGACGAGAGCATCAGCGGGCTGGGCGGGGTCGGTGGCGAGCAGCTGGGTGATGGGCTGTACCTCAACTGCGACGCGCAGGGCCCTGCGCGCCCAGGCCCCCGCCACCGAGGCCCGACAGCAGCTGCCGACGGCGCTCGGGCCAGACCCCAGCGATAACGCCACCTTGAAGGCGAAGGCGCTCGCGAGGCCTGGACAGCCCTCGGAAGGGGAGAGGCGAGCCCACGCAGTGCATCATCTCCCTTTCAGGCCGCGGCGCAGCGACTGCGTCATGGGCCGCGCGAGGGGCGCGCCCCGCGTGGTGAGCGCGAAGTCGAGAAGCGACGACGAGCACCCAGTCGTGCAGATGGACTTCTTCTACGTGGCCACCGACGAGATAGCTCGGAAGTGCCCCAATGGTGAACGGCTACGTCGTGAAGATCGCCGGCTTCAGGAAGCTGGATCACACGGAGCGCGGGGAGCTACCCGCGATCCTGAACGCCGCGGGCTCCAGGTCCAACGCCTCAGGCACGCTCTTCGGCTCCAAGCACATGGGAGACTACAAGGCGCACTTCGTGGCTAAACTCATCGACAGCTGGGGCCACGCGACGGTTATTCCGCTCGCGGACGGCGGGAATGCGATTGTCGCTCTGGCGCAGCAGGCGAAGAAGCTCAGGCCGCACTCTACGATAGCCCGGCAGGGCCCGGCGCACTCATCCAAGAGCATGGGGCGCATCGAGGCAAGCAGCGGAGCAGCTGCGAGACCTACTCCGCACGTTGCGATTTGCACTCGAGACCAAGCTAGGCTGCAAGCTCGAGCTCTCGGACTCCATCCTCGCCTTCCCCGCCAGCACGATCGGCCGGTGCATCGCGAGGTTCCTGCCGAGAAGCCACGGGGGATCACGCTGCAAGTTCCTCTTCGGCCGCGAGCACGCGGGCGAGGTGGCGGAGGTCGGCGAGCAGGTGCGGCGCCGCGTCGCGGCCCTAGTCGCAGCGGGCCAGGGCAAGTTCGAGGCGCGCTTCGCGAAGGGCATCTGGGTAGGCAAGTCGGAGTTCGACGACCAGCACCTGGCGGTCGACCTGCAGCGCGGCCTCTTGGAGGTCCGCTCGGCCCGCCGCATGCCCCAGGAGTTCCGCTGGAACGCTGAGCTCGCGAAGCAGATCGACGCGGCACCTTCGGCCCCTGTGCCCGAGCGGGCGGGGTCAAGTATCAGGAAGTCTATGTATATTGCCGAGATTATGTTGAGCACCTACGGCCCGACGGGCAACTGCCCGAAGTGCAGCTACGGACGGGGCCAGCGCAGCGAGCAGCGCAGGCAGCGATTCAATGCCATCGCGCAGGAGAGGCTCGAGGCGAAGCTCGCGGAGGAGGCCAGGGGCGGGGCGGCCCTGGGCACTCCAGCGGCGCCAGGGCCAGCGCCACAGGCCCCCCCACGGGTGCCTGCCGGCGCGCAGGCGACGGCCTCGAGTCCAGCGGCAGCGGCATCCTCGACGCCACCCACGCCAGCCGCGGCGCCCGCGACCCCAGGGATGGACACGAGCGCGCCCAAGGCACTGGTGCGCGACCCTGCGGCGGACAGCTCAGAGCCGAACAAACGACAGAGGGTCGGCGCGCTGGTGCAGGCCCCTGTGGTCGTGGTCATCGCGGGCCCCTCAGTCTGTGAGCTGGTGGTCTGCGCGGAGGACGACGACTAGGAGGAAGACCCGCTCTGGGACCCGATACCGAGGGCTGAGGAGCGGTGTGAGGGCTTGTGCAAGGCGCGCGTGGGCCGCTGTGCTTACCGACGCGACCACGCTGGGCAGTGTGCGCGCAGGAGATGCCTCATCGGCTGCGCCAAGAAGCTCAACCCAGACGCCGAGGTCGTGGCGAGCCTGTGCGCGTTATGGTCGAGACGTATGACGCGCGAGCAGCCCGACTGGGGCCTCGACCCGAATTCGCCCGAGCCGACGGTGGAGATCCACTACGACTACTACACGGGCGACCCCCTCGACGAGGAGAAGTACCAGAAGGGCAAGGCAGACGAGCTCCAGGCAATGGCCGAGCACGGCGTCTACCGCAAGATCCGCATCGCGGAATGCGAGCCTGGTGGCAAGCACGTCGGGGGCTTCCCCGTCGCGCACGACAAGGCTGGCGAGGTGCGCTGGCGCTTCGTGGCAACGGAGGTGACCCACCAGCACCGCGAGGACAACCACCAGGGCACACCACCACTCGCGATGATCCGCGCGATTCTCAGCTTGGCGGCCAGCAAGCCAGACAGCGACGGACAGCACAGACGGTGCATCCGCATCTCGGACGTTCGCAAGGCGTTCTTCAACAGCGACCTGACCGAGAAGATCTACGTCCACCCAGGCAGCGAGCTGCGCGAGCGCGGCTACGGCACTGTACGGGGCCCGCCTGGCCAGTCAGCTGTGGGGCGGGAACGTGAAGGCTACCTCGGACGACCCTGGAGGCAGGGCGCTGAGGTGCGCCCCTGGCATGTTGTACTTCGCCAACCCCTGCAGCGACGGCAACGACGCCACGATGGGGGTCCACGGCGACGACTTCATCGCGGAAGGCCACGTCGGGACGCTTGACCAGCTGGTTGACGTCCTGAGCGTGGAGTACGGGATCACCTCATCGCCGCCGCTGGGGCCTGGACACCCTGGAGTTGCCCGCTACCTGAAGCGCGTCTGCGGGTATGTCGACCAGCTGCCCGAGACGAGGCTGCCAGGCTTCTTCTGGCACGCGGACCCGAAGCACGTGACGGAGATCGTCAAGTTCGGGCCCGAGGAGGGAGCCGAGGCGGTCGACACGCCAGGCACCAAGGCGATCGGGGCACAGCTACGCAATGGAACGGACCCGGTGCCCACGACCGAGGCGCGCAAGACAGCATCGGCGGGAGGTCTCGCGCGCGGACCGGCCCGACATCATGTTCGTGAGCAAGACCATCATGCAGGACGTGAGCAGGCCGAACAACCAGATGAATGCGAGGCTCATACGACTGGCCCGATACCTCGAGGGACACCAGGTCCTAGTCTGGTGCTACGAGCTGCAAGACCTGCCGAGCACCCTGAGGGCCGACGGCGACGCAGACTGGGCGGCTCCGACGGCAGTGGCACGTAAGAGCACATCTGGCGGCACGGTCAGATTCGGCAGTCACACCTGGGAGTGCTACTCGACCAGCCAGGCCACCCAGGCTCTCAGCAGTGGCGAGTCTGAGTTCTACGCACTCGGCTCGTTCGCAGCACGGGGATTGCAGATGAAGTTTGTCCTGGACGAGGTCGGGATCGAGGTTCGCCTGGTGGTGGCCTCGGACAGCGCGGCCGCGCGTGGCATGGCCCAGCGGCGCGGAGTTGGCAAGGTCCGCCACTTGGAGCTGCGCTACCTCTGGATGCAAGAGCGGATCCGACTCCAGATGTTCGAGCTTGTGAAGGAGGACGCGCGCAAGATGGTGGCGGACATCCTGACGAAGTATGTGGACAAGGACAGCACGGCGACGCACCTACACGAGCTGAGCTTGAGGATGACGGGCGCAGCCATGGTGGCGTCGACCCCGCCGGCGATCCCCGGCGCGAGGGCGGCCGAGGACCAGTGTGAGATGGGCTATGAGGGCGAGAAGTTTGAGGCAGTGCAGTCGGGGGTTTCCCCATGGCTGCTGGTGAGTTTGGTCGTGGTGCTGTGTAGTATCGCGCACCTCTGCGGCTGGTACGTGGGCAGGCACAAAGTGGTCGCCCAGACGGCCGAGGAGGACCCAAGAGCGGCGCTGATTGGCGAGAGGCACAGGCACCACGAGGAGTATGCCGAGTCCAAGCAGCAGCAGAGCATGCAGGCTGGATGGAGGCTCGAAGAACGGAAGTCCATCATGCGGGAGGTTCAGCGCCTGTACGAGGTCTACACCGTCGGCGAGCTGCGGGAGCTGCCAGTCGAGCGCGGCCCGCTGCTCAAGGACGGCTACACAAGAGAGGGGGAGCTCGTTGAGAGCGCTGGGAGGAGCAGCCCGACGGAGATGCAAGTGATCACCCAGCTGACGACAGAGTGGAAGGACCACGGGATCGACGCGAGATAGCGTGCTCGCATGCTGGCGAGCGGACGTGACATTCAAAGGATGCCCACCGCCACCGCGGAGGTCATGAACCGCCTGCGGGAGCGTCTTCACTGATCATGAGGGTGCAGACCGCGGATGAGGGCGTTTAATTCTACCCGCTCTTGCGCATGCCGACCGCGAGGACAGGCGCTCGTCCATAGTCCAAATCTGAGGGGGGGATACATCCGGGGGCTGGCACGCCTAGTCGGGAGCTGTGTCAGGCGAATGTTCCCGTGTACTTCTGGCTCAAGGAAATGAAGCTGATTCACCGCTCTTCCAGATTCCTTTGGACGAGGGCTGAACCAATCTCGCCTCCGACCCCGAGCGCTCGAAAATAATTTCAGCAGTGGCAGGTCTGAGTGCGCTTTGGTCTGAAGCTGCTCATGGGCGGATATTAGTGTTACCCCCGAGATCCTCCCAAACATATTCGGTTTCAGCATCGGCTTCCTGACGTATTCTGATGGAATCAATGGGTGGAATGCTGACGCTGGTGGTGTTGGCTATGGTACCCAAGCGGGCGGCTATGTCACAGTGGATGGCCAGGATGCTTCTATAGTTTCTCACATTGCTGTCGGGACGCTGAAGAAGGAATCCTTTTCGTTGGGGAGGGGCTCGGTGTTCCCTGATTGTTTTACAGCTTGCCGCTTGCCCCAGGTGTTCCTTATGTTTTCGATGGGAAATCGAAGTTTAACTTGTGGAAAAAAAAGGGGCCCTCGTTTCTTATTCAGGGTTCCTTAGGTCAACGCCCCGACTGTGCTGAAGGATGCTGCCGTATCCCTGATGACGAACATCTCATTGAACTCGCCGCGGTTGGTAATGCTGGTGCCTTTCTCGCTCCTTGTGGCAAGATGGGTTGCGAGATGTTCATATGTTTGTTCAAGACAGATTCGGTAAACCGCGAATTCCCAGGCCAGTGCAACCACAAGATCATTGAAGAGGTGGTGAAGGCAGCCAAAGAAGTGTGCAGCGATGCAATGAATGCGTTGGAGTTATTGGAGGACCAGCGTGTCGAGGAGTTGTGATGCATCGTTGCGTTGGTGACGTGCAATGCAACTGGCTTCTGTCTCAAAGTGATTCGCTTGCTATGTTTGGCGCTTGCCGGGAAGTGGAGTGTAGTCCGCATCGCCACTGGACTTGGCATTTTGCAATTATGCTTTCGTTGTTGCGTATCGCAACGCAGAGATTTCATGGCGCCTCTTCTGATTTCGAAACGCCCCTGGGCCCCCGCTGGGCCACGCACGTGCCGCCGGCCATGATTTGGGCCCCCCCGTTTTGGAGGCCCCCCTCTTGGCCGACCCCGACTCCCATAATCGCGCCAGTCGACCCTTGGACGTGCGGGATCGGGCCGCCACATGGGGGGCGTTAGCCAGATTCGTCGCCTTCCACTCAGCGTGAGAAGCGCAGCACCTGCAAACTACGCACGTGGGCCGAAGCAGTAGATGATGCCCCAGTCCTCGCGCCTTCAGAAGGCGAGCCTTCTGGGAATTCAAGTCCTTGGATTTTGCACCTGGCGGCCCGCTCGCAGTCTTAACAGGGGTCCTACAAGCAGCGGCCGACGCTGGACACTTGACGACGGAATTGGCTGGTGCCGCGTTTTTTCTCTTGAGCTATCCATCCGCTGCTTGGTCTTTGTAGGGGGGGGGGCTCCACAGGAGGGGCAGGGATCGACTCGGCGGCCTGACTCGGGGCAGTTCCTGTGATGCTACTCTGCTCGACATCGGTTATCGTGTCGACTATGTCGCACGACATCGCTGCTAGTCTCAGTGCAAACTCTAGGGCCTCGGCCGTCACGTGATACCTCAGCTTAAGGGCCTGCTGCTGCCAGAAAGGGTGCTCACACATTTGAGTTTTCTTCTTTGCACACGGTGGGGCGTTCGTTAAGGACTGCGCCTAGGTGGCTGCAGACCCTGGAGGACCCTTATACAACGAGGGCGACGGTGATGTCCATGGCTGGCCCACGACTGGAGTTCCACTGGCTTCCAGACCTTGGATTCTTTATCGAAGGGCCCCTTACCCTGTGCAGGAGCTGGTGCTGCTCAGCGTCCACGCTCCCCCCGCCGACCGCTGGATATTGAACGTCGCCCGCTCCCTTGGCCTCTCGGAGGTGGCTGTGGCACATGCTGTGAGGTGAGTCGTCGGCGGTGTTGCACTTGCTGGTGCGTAATCCGTGCAACGGCTTCTTTTTGAATTCTTGCATGCACGGGTTCGCACTCGAAGAATTTAAAACATGCCCCCCCCCCCCCGCAGTAGTTTTTTTTTTTTCCGCGAGGCGGTTTCCAGCAGTGGCGAAACCTCCTGGCTCGCCGATAGCCCTACCAATCAATGTTATAATATCTTTTTTGTGGTCCCCACGAAATGTGATTAAAACAGTTCTGGCGGAGTCTGTCTTGTTTGAACACATCGGGTTTATGTTATAAGAACATTGCTTAGTTTTTAGAGCATTTTTGGGTTCTAAGAACATTTCGTGGTAGGACACTAGGAATGCCGGGACGGTCGGTCCCTGCTCAACGGTTGCCTCGGAACAAACGTTGCCTAGCCTACGCCTCTGGATGTCAAAGATCGGGCTGGTCCCGGGGCCCAACCGCCCGAGGCGGGACGCAAGGAGAAACCGACATCCGCGCCAGAAATCTCGCTAGGCCCTCGCGAGTGATGTTTTTTACGCGTTGCTTTGCCGATCGGCGCGGGCCCCCAAACCCTTCCCTTCACCCCCAATGGAGTAGATATTGGTTGTTTTTTGGCGCTTTGTTCGATTTTCCGGAGTCTCCCCCAGGGGCCGCGCTGCTGCAAACAGTCGCACTAACCAGAGTTTTGGATCCAGACCCCCCCCCGCGCCTCCCCGTTTCCGCCCAATGTCGGATCCCCGAGTAAGAAAACGTTGACCGAGAGACAAGCACCATTTTTCCCCCCATGTATCGGCGGCGAGCGAGAGGGAAAGGGAAAAGGGGCGGGTCTTCTCAGAAGGCTCGGAGGCCCCTCCAGTTTTCTGAGAAGTGTCGTGAGCTTTCCCCGAAGACAGAGAACTTCTCAGAACGCGCGAGGGTTTCTGAGAAGTCCCGCCGCCCTTTGAGCAGGCCTTTTCCTTTTCACTTCGCCCCCTCTCGCTCGCCGCCGGCTGTACCTCCCATCCGTTACATGGCGGTCCGCACGGATTTCTTGGATCCGCGGTGGGCCCCCCCGGCGTCGCCCCTTGCGCGCTCCGCGCGCCAGGGAGGGGGTCCGGCGCAGATCCAAGAAATCCGCGCGGCGCGCCCAAAGTTTACCTTCATGTTTGTTTTCCTCTTCTATCTTCTAGGCCTCCTAGATGGGGTCGGAGTAGATGGTGTCGGAGTATTGCGCCTCATCGCCGATGCATCGCCGATGCGGTTCGATGTGGAGCCCGATTTGCTTCACGTCGACGTCGTCGATGCATCGCTGACGTCGACGACCCATCGCCTGTGCATCGCCGATGCATCGCCGATGCATCGTCGATGTATCGGCGATGCGGCGCGATCCTCCGACCCCATCTACCCCGACCCCATCTACGAGGTCTCTTTTATATATGCATGACAATCGCAAGAGGTCTCGAGGGGTGGCGCTGCACGCCTCACAGCCTGCAGGATGGCATGCCGCTCCGCTGGAAAGGAGGCCTTGCCGACCTTTTGTCAGGAGTGGAAAAAACACACTGAAAAATTCGTCGTCGACTCCCAGGAAAATATTGGAAAATATGGGAAGTGGGGGGGAAGACGAAAACCCAGAAACTACAGGAAAATATTGGGAATCCGGGTATTTGTGTGTATTTATTGGTGTGTCCCATCGTACTTAAGGACCACATCCCAGAAATAACTTCGAGCACCTGGAAAAGTGTCGAAAGAGTGTCGAAACGGTGTCGAAACAGTGTCGGACGAGTGTCTTCCAGGGCCCGACACATGAAAACCCTCGAGTTGTTGGGTACTTTTCTGGTGCTCGAAAATCTTTCTGGTGAACAAGGCTAAAGTAGGTTGGAACATCATAAGGTTCGCATTCTCTATGGGTTCATTTATCAAGGAGGGGATGATTGACCTTCTGACCGAGCCTGCCCAATCCCGCTCCCCTCCATCTTCCTCCCCCTCCTCCTCCCCCCCCCCTCCCCCGACCCCCCCGTCCACCCGTTCCAACAGCACGTGCCCAAACCCCCCCAGCGGATCCAAGCGGGGTGGCGATGATTGCCCCATCCAGAGTTCTCGCTGTGCAAGAGGGAGATTCATCTGACAAGACCCTCCTGAGACAGTTCGTGGATGTCCGAGTTCGTGCACGCGGCGTGAGACACTTGCCATTCATCCACGGGTTCGATCGGACCTTCGAGACTGTACCCCTATAGGCCAGAGGTGCCCGAAAATGCTTTGACGCGAGTGGCTCCCCCGCTGCTGCACGTGCCTGCCACCGACTTGCTCGCCCACGCTGCTCGCCACGAGCCGCTGCACACGTACACGTGCAGTGCAAGTCCGTGCTTGCAGTTTGCTTGCATGCCTGGCATTGGTCAGTCGAGGCTCGGCCAGCCTCGAGGGTACGCTGCTGCGGCCACGTGCATCCCGAAAACAACGCTCGTGCCCGCGTGCGATGCCCAGCTGCCCATGTATCTACAAGCGACCTGCGAAGCAAGAATCGAGTCGGCGCTAGAAAGATCTAACGCTGTACATTCACTGAGCGAGAAGAGAGAGATGAGGATTTCGGGCGTCGTAGTGAGGTCCAGCTGATTATAGCTCCTGCTTCTCCCTCTCCTCCTTCAGCCGTGATGCGCGTCTCCTGCTGCTCTTCCTGTCGCTACCGCTGGTCCTCCTCCCCCTCCTCTTCCATTGACTTCCCAATGCGGGAGAATAGTGATTGTGCTTTTCAGTTGCTCCGAACTGAAGCTGTCACCTTTTTTCTTGGCTTGGCGAAGCCTGCCCAAACTGTGTGATTGCCCCCCCACCCCCCCTGCTACAGTAACAACGACTCCAGCCCGACACCTCCGTACACTTGATATT